GCAGGCCGCTAATCCCAGCTCCCGACAGCTTTAGGGAGCGTGTGCCGGAGCCGGCGCCTGCCCCGCCGGAACGTGCTGCTGTGCGGCCTCAGGAGCTGCCGCCGAAAATACCTTTGAAGGACACAGCTGCCAGAGGACAGAGCACAAATCTGCCTCGCTTCCCATGCGCACAGCTTTGGAGCGGTGATGGTTTGAGATAACGACCGTGTGTTTTCATGGTCGGTCAGGCAGAGTCCACAGCCTGTGTTGGAAGAGCTGCGCGTTCCCCCGTCCCCTGTGCACCCCTTTATTTCAGGGATGTCTCTGAAATGCTGCCCTGCGGCTCTCGGTGCTCCTGGTGCTTCCATCCCATCCACACCAGCATCTCTGCTCGGTTCCACCTGGTAGGGGCTCTGGGGGAAGGGGACGGGGAAGGTGGCAGGAGGAGGAGGACTCGGAGCAGAGCCGGAGTGACGGCTTGGCCGTCGGGATGAGAAGCAGGCGGCGAGCGCAGGCTGTCAGCAGGCTTCCCACCCAGCTCTGAACACATCAGCTCTGACCTGTGAAGCTCCCGTTATCCCAGACATGCACTTCCTGGGAGGACCTCAGTCTAGACCCGCAGCTCTCCACTTCGCTGTTCCCATTGCGGATCCACCCTGTCCTGCTTAATTTCATCCTTCCTTGTCACTGCTGGCCAGGATTCCCCGTGCTGCCAGCTTCTCCATACCGAAGGCAGCATGTGGTGAGGCATGCTGCTGCTGTTGGGATCCCTGGGTTCCTCACAGGCTCAGCCCTCTGGCTGCAGACTCTGCAGAATAACAGGTTAAACTGACAAATTACAATTATTCCTGCCTTAGAATAATAGGCCGACAGCAGCTACACGCAAGCGATTCTTTGTACCTGCAGGGGAAGGAAGTGCAGAGTGCTGGCGTAGCAGCCCTTTGTGTTCACGCCGTACCGGGTCATGCTGCACACAGCTTTCCACAGCAGAATAAACGTGGTTTATCATGCTGGTGGGGATGCCTGTGGGTACAGACGCTCGTAGGTACTCGCCTGCTGCAGGCTGGGTGACCAGACCCCGGCCTCTGCAGCAGAAAGCCTGGGGCCAGTCCCCAGCTGGTAGCGGGCTGCGCACACAGGCTTTCTCCCAGTTTTCACAGCAAATATCCCTCCCGTCTTTGTGTGGCGATTCAGGATGGAGCCCTTGCTACCCCCAAGGGTTTGGGTTGCGTTGTTGGGGCATTGCAGAAAAGCCAAACGAGAGGAGCCTCAGAAAGGCCGGCTGCCTGAAAATCAGGGGGACCTCACGGGCTCCTCCTGACCTTTCTAAGGCTGCTGTGCCATTTCTGCAGGGGACAAAACACCGTAAGAGGCTGCAGTCAGGAAATACTTACTGCAGAGCGCCCGTAACCTCAGCAAAGCGGAGGCTGCTGTCGCGATGCTTTCTGAGACCTGGCTGCGATGACATCATCTGCGTGCCAAATACATGTTATTTTTTAATGCGTGATGCAAAGGGCATAACATTTAGTTTTACCAAATCTGTGATTGGGAATTTGTGAACTGACCAGAGCCAGTAAATATCAAATGAAAAAATTTATCTGCACTTTATCAGATCTCTGAATATGCCTCATAAATATCCTTTTCTAAAGGACACACGCTGCAGGTCAGCGGAGATCAGTCTCCATTTGAATTCCTAATTTTGCAAGTTTTGATGGAAATCAGAATGAATTGATTTGTTCAAAAATAGCACTGCCAAGCACTTGGCCCTGACGGCGTCTGCACTCTGATAATGAAAATCTTCAGGCTGGTGGTCATGGGCTCTCTGATCATTTGCAGCTATATGCTTTCATCAGAGCAACCCACCTTCTTTCAGTCTCCACAGGGCAAGAAGCAAAGGGAGACATGAAAAAATCTTCCATTTATAGCTCCATAAAAATTAATTGTTCGAAGTGATGCTGTTACCTGGGCTTCTTTCATTCCACGCCATAGTCCAGCGTCAGTTTCTTCCATGCCAGGGAAAATTCTGCAGCTTTTACTCAGGCAAAATGTTTCTCAATGTCAACAGGCCACGGCAAGCCCCACACTGCTGGAGTATAGCATCTAGGCTACGTATGTGCTTCTTCTGCTGGGCTTATGGGGCTTTCTTAATGTTCTGATTTATTTATTTATAATGTTTAGTTCATATTTCTACAGTGTCACAGGCTCTTAAGACCTCCAGTGACAGAGACTGCATAACTTCTCCAGGCAATGTGCCCTTGACAGCTAATTTCCATCTTAAAAAATAAAGCAGGTACTTCACTCCTGCCCTCAGTGGGCAGAGAGAACAGCTTATTTCTCCATACTGAAGTGAAACTACATCAATTTAGATGTCTCCAGTTCGTCCAAACCTTTCTTCATTCCAGTCCCGTCCTCTGGCATGCTCTAGGCATACTCAGCTTTAGCCTGAAAATCTAGTACGCACGCTTCCTAATCGCTCGCCCGAGCCAGCAGTGGAAGTTATCGAGGCAGCTCCCAGCCCCAACCGGATCTCTAGAATACCTGCTCCTTCCACGATGGCAGTGGGCCCTCGGTGACCCACACCAGCATCCAACTCGCTGAAATTCCATCTCGACCACATTGGCTGGACCACTGCGTGTCGCGTGAGTCTGTGTGTTCGCCAGGTAGGTGTCTAAGCGAGGCCTCTGGGCTGCTGTCAGAGTTGCTAAAGGTCCAGTCAAGTCAGTCAATAGAGCTTAGCAGCGCAATTCATCTGAAAAAACGCAGGGTGAAGTGAGCTGTGTCCTGGACTTGGCTGGCTGTATTGACTAGGTCTCTGCCTGCCTAACGAGGAAAACACGACTATACTCGGTCTGGAATGCCAATTATGTTCCAGTGCTCTGAAAATACAACTGGGAGTCCCACAGTCAAATGCCCAGTTAATTTATTCTGCTATGCATTTCAACACCAAGGAAGCTTTTATTGCGAGCGCAGGGTGATGCTCCAGCTCCCGCTGCCTTTGGAGGTACTTTAGCTGGTTTGTATTTGTTTATCGCTCTCCCACATCTGCCTGCCCGCAGGCAGAATTTTTCCCTTTGAATTCTTTGTGGCATTTATTGCCTAGCTGGCTTTGCACCCCCCCTAAAACATACAAACACGCATGCTCGCAGGCAAAACTTCACCTCCTGTACTTCATGCTGGGAGTTCACTGTGTTTCCGATCCCTGTGTTTCAATCCTAGTTGTGTCTTTTATAAAGCTGAGCCTTGGTTTAGCAAATCTGTTCTCGATTAAAGTGGCACTGTAAAGTCCTTGTTCCTAAGGAATCTAGGGAGTGGAAACACCACGTCAAGTGAGGCACATCAAGTGATGTCCTAAAAACCACAATGCAGAAGGATTATCTTCCAGAAACACACTTGGACAATTCCTTCCACCTGTCACTCTTCTTAACTGAAAATGCCCCGATCTCAGCCTCTACCAGTGTCCTGTGGTTTGCCTTCTTCAGCCAGCTAATTCTGATTCCACTTTGGGCAGGAAGAAAGGAAGGTATGGAAACAAGAACATTATTCATAAATATCACGAGAGATTTTATCTTTGACTTTCATTAGTCCACCAGGTCACCAGCTGAGTCGAGGTCAGCTGCAAAGGTCTGTGCCCCTAGCCAAAGCGCTGCCTTTTCTGAGGCTTTAGGAGTAAGTGTTTGTCTACAGGCTTATGCATGCGAACACGTACCTTCCCCATACACAGCCTGCAGCCCAGGGCAGTTTGTACAGCCATGGCCGGGGTCGTTTCAGGCGTTTAGGGGCTAACAACGAGGTTTGTTTTAACACTTCAGTCAGGGGAGCTGTCTATCCTAAAGACAGTAAGTAAAATATTTATTAGGAAGAATATCTATTTTTAACTAAGCATGATTTCAGGTCTATTATTTATGCATGTGCAGCACATAGACTTCTGCACTTGTCTCCTTGCAGGAAATGCGAATCGAAGACTTGAGGCTGGAAACGGGAACTGGAGCCTGGCGAGGAAGGGATCGGGAGGCAGGTGAGAAGGGGGTGGTGGATGTTACGTGCCAAATCCAATAAACATCAAAATATGATTCATAAAATTGACTCTCCATCTCATAGAAGAATCCCAGTGTGCTCCCTCTGCAGAAAGAGAACTGAGGAGTCTGTTCCTAGCACTGCCACGCTTCTCCCAGCTCGCTTCCTTTCAACGCACAAGGGCGGGCAAACGGGCACTGGGCAGGCACTGCCCGGCGCTGCTGGGAAGCAGCAGTTGTACCATTAAACCTCTCAGGCTGGGTGCAGAGCGCCTGTCCGATGGCTGCCAAAGGCGCTCTGGTACAAAATACCCTCTTGTGAGTCAGTGTTGCTGCAACTTCTGCTTTCCAGGCAGCTCACCCACAGCACAGGGACCGGATGGTATCTGGAAGGAACAGAAAATCGGAGGCTTTCCCCTGCCCAGACAGGAACTAGCTTGAGGAGACAGAGGACAGGAGATGCTCGAACCTGAAGCAGAGGAAACCACCGCAGGACTGCTGAGTCTTATCCCAACTCATTTTGCTTCCAGAGAGGGGAATGCTCATCCATACGGATGCAGTGACAGCACCCTGCTCAGCACAGCGCCGCGCCGCCCCACGGTCTCCACAGCGCAGCCACCTCTCTACCCTGCTGGAAGGACACAAGTGTCCCTCTGAAAACCCTTTGCCATCTGCATTCGAGTATCCTGCGGCTGACACAGGGGAAACCCCCAGCCACTTTATTCCAGGCGATGCAGAAGTGACCTAGAGAGGGCTGGGGATCGTGGCCAGAGCGCCTGACGTGCCGGCTGTTCCCAGGTGCCCCCATCCCTGAGGCTGATGCAATGTGCTGTTATGACACCCCCAGACTGCCTTAAAATTATGGGAGACATAAAATGGGTGCAAAGCTGTGTCTTAGTTAGGAGCACTCCATTAGGAATATGACAGGGGTTCTTCTTCTCTTTTCTTGTTGAAAAGGCCAGAATAAATACTAGGTCAAAAATCTCTCCTTGCCCTTTTAGTGGAAGAAATGCTTTAGCATCAGGAGAAATTTTTCACCAAGGAAAAGGAGAGAGAGAAAGCAGAGGTGATGCAGAAGTTCACAGCAGAAATTCTGGGAGTTCTGTCTTTTCTCTTTGCCCCACTGAACTATAAAAGGGCAGGTTTCTTGACAAATCAGTAGCTGTAGAGTTTAGTTAATAAGTGTATTTGACATCCTTGGATACAAGGTAGTAAAGAAGTTAGAAGTAATTTAGACCATGAAGCAACAGCTGCATTTCACCACAAAGGTGGCTTTAGTTCACTGACAAATGTAAAGATTTCTGTGTTCCTGCTTGCACAGGGGAGACTTAAATGACCACTCCGAAGACTGACAAAAATTGGTTGCTTAACGGGGATGTTTTTCTCATAAAGCCTGAGTGAAGCTGCACTCAATACGTTTGGGGATACGATAGATTAGATAGTTTGGAGAAGCCGTTAACAGAGTTCTCAAACCACGTCGCTATCCATCTCAATGAAAGGCGTTACATAAATGTAAGCTCATTTGTTATCATTATCTCCCTTTGTCTCTTCACAACCTGGGTAATTTGCCAGGTTATCAGGCTATGTGTGTTTAAAAACACATGACAGATATCACCTCAGCAGATATTCACTGGCTTTCTCATTATTACGAGCAGAAATGTTTCCTTAAACACACTGCAGCTATTATAGATCCGTATCAGCTCTGACTCGGTGACAAAACCACCCCAGTACACTAGAAATAGAAGCCAGTGAACTCTGCTGGCTCCTTCTGAGCCTGTCAAAAGCATTCAGACCAACTGTCCTGTTTCTGGCATATCTTCTTGCAGTTATGTCGCCAAGCGCATCTTCCCACGGAGGGCAGGCGGGACTCGGCCTTCTTTAACCAG